GATCACAAGGATAAATTATCCCGAGAAAAATTTATATATTTTGCATTTAAGAAATATTGTGATTTTATTTTGTAGCAATAGAATAATAGTTAAACAGCTCGGTACATCCAACACACTGAATGGAAAAAAGTACAAAGCGTACTATTAGATGAATAGATGTACGGTTAGATTCGCGCAAAAGCATATACAACTTAAGGATTTTGTAGAAATTACCGATGATGCGAAAATGATAAACATATATCAGAACTACTCTATGGTTTTTTTTAACTTTAAATTGTTTAGAATAAATTATTATGTAGCATCCATCATAGTAAAATACCCCTAATGGTTTAGAGTACAATGCAATTCTATATGATCTATACAATGTTGGAAGTAAATCATATGTGCAATAGTTTTTAAAAAAAAAATACAAAACATCTGCGTAAGTTTCTCGAACGCAGAATGTTTGTTAAATGAACTGACTTAATATTGAACCATATGAAAATACAAATATTTAGGGTTACCTCTAGGCTCGAAACGAAACAAGAAATATTGAAAAGAAAACAAATGTCAGCCTATATTAAAACAAAACGTGGATAAATATTTGTCACAAGTTTATTAGTTATAGAACATGTTTCATGTCAAACCCTTCATAGCATAATTTTATTTAGTTTCGCCTATTGTTTTCTCGTTAACGGCACACGTTTTACTTTGGTATCATATGCTGCTTTAAATGTAATAACACTAACGTGATACCAAGATTCAATGATGACCGTCATTTGAACAAATCACCGGATGTTTCAAAATTCATTTTTTACCAGTACTTGTTAAATGTTGTATTCCGCTTGAGCTGGTGTAAGGGGCGTGGATGGTAGCTTGCAATTATCATCCTTGAACCCGCTCAATCAAACCGAGCCTGCCAAATTATTTGACTTTCCTTAGGGATTCTAAAACTCTTTGTGATTGGAGAAGCATATTTCCTGATATTGTTGTCCGTACGACTGTTTAGCCGAAATTATGTCTCTTTGGTTTTTGGGCGTCCATGGAAGTTTGGTTATGGTTGCTGACTTTAAAGCAATGACCCCTTCCCGCTGTGAGTTCGATTCCCGCAAGGAAATTTCAGATATTATCATATGGAGTAGCTAAATGTGATATATCAGAATGTCTTGTGGATCGTCTGTTGCCCTCCTATGCCTGAGATAATACATCGAGGGACACCTAAGGGTTCCCTCCACCAGTAAAATAGAGAAAATAGAATCCCTTATGGAAGCAAAATACGGCAAATTGACAATGTTCCAGGCTCGGTATGATTGAGCCTGTTCATGGACACTACGACATTACTGGAAAGTACGACTGGCATAAGCAGTATTCAATATTTAAACGTGTTATGGTCAAATTTTGAAGTTAAGATTTATAGTATTATTAATTAAAGCTAAGCAGTATTCAATATCTAAACATATTATGGTAAAATTATGAAATTTAGGGTAAAAGTATTCTCATGAAAGATTAAGTTTAAAGTATTATTAAATTATGTTAAAATGTTTACTAGGTACGGTAAGTTCAGCTTAATGATGCTAAAAATTTAACTTTTGAAGTGTAAAATCTGTTAGTTAACCTTCTTACCTTTAGTATTATGTAAATGAAACATTGTACACATTTATTATTTTAAAATCAGTTATTGTATTCATTATCAAACTTGATCACAATTTCAAGAATTTTGTATCCAATATAAATTTGTATAATGTATGTTGTGGTATAAAATTTACGCGGTATAATGAATTCGAGGTGCAACCAATTCGCGAATAATAGCGAAAATTAAAACATCGCAAAATACACAGGATTTACAGTATTATTGTTTCTGTCAACCTTTTTCTCGGTAATAATTGCAAACAGTGCAATATTGTATGAGGTATATAATTTTCTTAGCTTGAACACCGTGCAGAAATGTTTCTCCCATTGTGTCTTTCAAATTGTACCTATTTGCAGTAAGTAGCACGGTTAAACAAACGGATGTTTACCATGGTCCGTCAGTGCTTGCACAGCCGAAAGTATTTTGTTTGTGTAAGCGTGTGTGTGTATCTTTATTTTCTTATTTAATTTTTCTTTCTTTTTGAATAGCATCAAATATTTTACTTATAAAATGTACATTGTTAAAAAGGATGTAAGTTTTTTTTTTATTCACAACATTTTAATACTTATAATACAGCTTTACTGATAAAGGTATTATTATTCAGTCGGCATTGAAAGTGTTTTTTTTTTCAAAATGTCGCTTAGAACAATTTATGCTTCTTAAATGCTTATTATGTTTTCGATCCTTTCTATTATTTGCTTATTCTTGCAAAACATTAGCAATGATTCAACGTAAGAATGTTGAATAATTCCACTCTAAACCAGACAATTGGATAAAACTGTGTTAGATTTTGACAAGAGCTTTTACCTGTGAAAAATAATAATTTTCAGGACTTAACAGTTGTGTTAACATGTACGTCTACACTATCATCATGTTGTTGATATGGTAATATGTAGTCACGTAAGACATTAAGATGTGTGATTCTAAGTGTTTGAAAGATTGCTCTGTTTATGTGTGCTATTTGTGTTTTGTCATATATATCATATAATGTTTTGCTTGTTAAAGAATGGGGATAGCTTCTTTTTTTTTCTTCCACATACTGACTGAAAGTACAGCACAACATTTTCAATGTAGAATTCACTTGTAAAAATGTACTAAGTTTTAAAGCTTCGTCGATGCGATTTCCTCTAATATGTTCATATACTAAAATATGTACTGGATGTTTAAACTTTTTCAGCCAAAAGACGGTCATATCTTTCCAAAGATCCGCTTGACGTATCACAAATTTCTTCCAAGCTGAAAAAAATAATAAAAGTACTATTGATAGAATGAATGTCCCTAAAATGCACTAAAATAGTATAAATTGGCTAAAAATAGAATAAATAGTGCTTTGTGAATAACTGATATACTGGCACACACTATTCTATTTTAATCCTTGTATTTTGTATATACTTTTTGTTTTTGAGCAGTTAAATTCTTCGGTCCAAATATTAATTAAATCAAATGAAATTATTATTACTCTTTGAATTGAAAACATTATTGATAAAGAAAATAATCTATTATAACAAATTCATCCGACTACTTTCAAAGGTTATGGTATGTCCATTGACAATTAATTAATGGAAATGTTTAATTTTTTTTACCGTAATCTTTTAGAGCGATATAATGTTTATCTAAACGTAATATGACTTACAGAGCGAATATGCACTTTAACTCAATTTTCCGAATGGTTGTCAAGAATTGCCTAGAAGTTTTCAGTGTGGTAAGTGTTTGTCCAAGACTTTTTTTCTAAGAACAAGGGTAGCACAGTTCATAAATTAAGCTACAATCGTAAAATGATATTGAAAAATAAACTAAAGTACTTACTATTTCCGAAGTAAATGCCTTTTGAGAGAAAAGTCTTTTGTCTGTTCAAAGATGCTAAAAGTCTGTTATACTCTGCGTATATAGCCTTAAATGGATTTCTAATGATGTATATGGCTTTTACATAATCGTGATTTTGACATTCTTTATCACTCGGTTTAAATTGCATTGCATGCGTCTTAATGATGTAACGAGAGCCTTTTGAAGATGTGCAATTGACAATCTTATCTGAATAAGCCGTTGTTGTACCTAAATAAACAATCAAACAAAAGTGTTAATAATTATAATTCATATAAAATGATATTCACGTGTAAGTCGAAGAAGAAAATGATATATGCAGATGCTTGCAATAATATGTTATTTCAAATTTGAAAAGATTTTAAAAGGAAAGCACATCAAAGCAATAAGCAAATCTTGGATAAAATCAGGACTCAGAAACTGCAAAAATAGTTTAACAACACTTTTTTGCCGAATCTTATATTTTTCATTCAACTTTGTAAAAAAAAATAAGACGTCTTAAAGTGCATTTCGGTAGGTGAAAAGTCGAAATTTTACCATTCATTCATTAAAGTGCCTTGTGGACGCTTTTAATAGGTCGCTCTTACCTAATTTCTAACCCTGATCATAATATATTCGAGGTCCGATGAGATATAAAATTCTCTACTGTGAACACGATTTTTGTTAGCCAATCAGGAGCCAGATCTAACATAAAGTAACCTACGATCTTCCATCAGAAATCACCACCCTCGTGCATTAATGGTTTAATATTTAAAAGGAGTTAACTCGTTACTGCACAACATTATCTTTAAAATATTGATAAGAGATTAACCCATGATTATTGATAATCAGGAGGATCATAACAGTGCTCATGACAACTTATAAAATCAAGCGTTGTTTTTCTGGTTTTGTCTTTGGAGACAACAAACACACTTAAAATTGCACGATTTCTGAATATCTCATTGCTGTCTTTTAACCCCCCCCACCCCCCTCCTCCAACACCCAAAGAAAAATAATATTCGTATACAAAAGATAAATGACGCCTACGAAAGTTGTTTTAAAAATTGTACACCCATAATACCCATAACTATCGTAAACGCAGTATATATAATGGCAACAGCCTCTGTTACAAATGTGTAAATATCAGCAAAAAAAAATAAAGGGAAGATGATCAACAACTACTACTAACAGACATAACGCATATTTTCTTGCGTGGAATTTGTTTTTCTTTTACTTATTTTTAAAATTGTAACTGTATTTTAATTTTTAATACAATAAATACCTAATTTTTTGTCAAGTAAGAGTATTTTTTAATCATATTATGTAATAGAAAGAGCACCGAAACACGAGGCTCTCTGATTTGTACGAGGGGCGTAGCCCCCGAGTATTAATCAGATTGCCGAGTGTTTTGGTGTTCTTTCTCTTTTGTATCAAGGTCAAACATAACAACGCGTTCCCTGTTGTCACAATATGAAACCCCAGAAAGAAGTATCCAATGAACAATCATCTGAATATCATATTTCTGTCGTGTTTCCTTTCTCTGCCGTCACAATAAGTAAACCCCAGCAAAAATGAACCAATCAATTGGCGTGCTCAGGAGTGCGGGTAACTAATACCTGCACTCCAGTTAACGCACTGTGCATGTTTATGTATACGATTTAACTCTGACGCATTTTCAACAGAAAGGTCCCCAAACTATGATACAAATTTTTAATATTGCAATATGGCCTTTGTATCACATCAGCATATTGTCTTTCATTCGGCATATTGAAATGAGACCTTCACTTCCTCACTCCCAAATTCAGTAGCCACTACTGCATTATAGAAAAGACCAATTGTGTAGAAATAACTCTACTTCTTTTCCTATCATTTAGTCTTTTAGTATTGTATAAATGCCGTAGCAAAACATTTGTTCACAAATGCATTTTTTCCATTTTAGCTCTTCTTAAAAATACAAAACAAATCAACATTTTACATATAAAGAAGCATCTTCGGAGCGATATTTCATAACGTTTACATATCTTTAAATATAGACTTGATGTACGTATTCTTAAATATAGACTTGATGTACACACATGATATACACATCCTTAAATATAGAATTAATGTACATATTCTTAAATAAAGACATGCTGACTTTCTTTAAATATAGTCTTGATGTACATATCCTTAAATAAAGACACGATATAAAAATCCTTAAATATAGACTTGATGTACATAATTATTATTAATTATAGATGAGATGTTATAACATTTGTCATGATATTAAAAGTGATAATTGAACAATTTAAAGCGAAAAAATTGGAGATGCCGTTTTGTAATTTTGTTAGTTGCCATTTTTCTAAAACAATTCATTTTCGTTTAAATGGTTTTATTAGTCCATGTTAATTGAAAAAGCAGTGTTGAAAACCTTTCTCTCTGATTGAATAAAGGGACTGAAAATACTTTGAAAGATACTGTAGACCTTTTTTAAAGAGATTTTTGGTACAGAAGGTTGGCATATAATTGGTACAAGAGATAACATTAAAAAATCTGTTGGTTTTTTTACCAATTCTTGTAATTTTGAACATTGAATCGAAAATTCAGCTACATGCGTAGCAGAAAATTAAACAACATATTCTTTATCCTTAATATTTAGAATAAGCAAAAAAATCAAATTAAGGGCAAATTACTCCCAAACAAGACCGACGAGAAACATGTGTAAAAACTTATAAAATGTTTCTGTAATTATATTTGAAGATAATGCTATGTTGATAAAAAAAAAATCCCTGAAAAATAGTTTTATTCTGCCTATATGTTTTTTGTGAAAGATATATCTAACAGTATAATGAAAAACCATGGATTCATCACAGATTGTTTAGATGGAAAGTTTTATACAAAGAATGTTACCTGTAAGTATTTCTACAATCCGACGAGTCATTGTATTTCCTGAACCAGGAAAACTAGCAAGAGCTATAGGTGGCCTCTTAATCGTAGAGAGGGTTGCATGTGGATCACACTGTAAGCCACCAACAATGTCGTAAATTATCTCATTAAAAGTTTTATTTTCATTTTGTTTACAAACGATAAACAATTTTAATGTTTGTAATAATGTATAAGTTACCTGTGTATTTAAATTACTATGAATAAATTCAGAGCAGTTCTCTTTTTCTGTTTGCATCTTTTCATTTACATTTACATATACATGTATATTTTGTTCTCTTGCAGCTTTGTCTGTGTTGTTTTTTTCTGTTTCTATTTTTTCTATTCCATTAATTTCTATATAATGCCAAAATGGAAACTTAATGTTGAGATACACGAAAACCATGAGAAGAATGAAGAAAACAATTTTCTTTTTCAGCATCAATCCTGGGCAATATTGATGTGAATTCATAAAACTTTTGATATAAATGAATATCTTTGTACAAAGAATAGATCAGGTTACAGACGCGCATAAGATAAAGTTAGAATCACTACCAAGAAACGTTTTATTTTTATTAGCCAATCAAAATCATTGTTTGTTATTGCCTGCGGAGATTGTGCAATCACTAGTGCAGATCAGAGCAATATTATACTTACTGTTAGATATCTGGTGCTGATAATATCTTGCTGTTTCTGACAAATGTTTGATTGAAGTTGGTATTTAAGGTAGTCTTAAAATGTCTGAATATGTCTGTGTATAGAAGGGACGTGGTGAATACATACTAGTGTACAGAAATCGCAGATATCTGGCACTAAGGACGTTTTACTATTTCTGTCAAATCTCTGAGTTAATGTTTAGTTGGAGTATTTTTAGGGATAGATATTTGAAATATGTTTGGTTACGTCCTTGTAAGAGTCGGATCGTAATGATAGTAATATTTACATGTATTCAAAAATCTCAGATATCTGGTACTGAAATGTTCTATTGTTTCAGTAAGACCTCTCGGGCCAACGGTTGATGAGAACTAATATGTTGATTGAAATAAAAGATAACAGTTACTAGTACACAGAAATCTCAGATATTTGGTACTAAGGATGCTATGTTTATTTTGACAAATGGTTAATAAGGAACTATTTTTATGTATGTTTGAAGTATTGTTATTTTTGTAAAGAAATATAAGGTAAGAAATTGTTGAAATGTAAAAGCAGGGGAATGAAAGATAGATTTAGCTTTGGATTGATATTTGGTTGAGAATAGTTTTTGAAAACAAATAATTTGTAATTGGAATATATATTTTTGATTGATTATAGAAATAAATTAAGATTGTTGATTTGATTTCGTTTTTCTAGTTATTTTCCGATCACAAGGATAATTATCCCGAGAAAAATTATATATTTGCATTTGAGAATATTGTGATTTTATTTTGTAGCAATAGAATAATAGTTAACAGCTCGGTACATCCAACACACTGAATGAAAAAGTACAAAGCGTACTATTAGATGAATAGATGTACGGTTAGATTCGCGCAAAGCATATACAACTAAGGATTTTGTAGAAATTACCGATGATGCGAAAATGATAAACATATATCAGAACTACTCTATGGTTTTAACTTTAAATTGTTTAGAATAAATTATTTTGTAGCATCCATCATAGTAAAATACCCCTAATGGTTTAGAGTACAATGCAATTCTATATGATCTATACAATGTTGGAAGTAAATCATATGTGCAATAGTTTTGAAAACAAAATACAAACTAAACTATAACAAAAAATCTGCGTAAGTTTCTTGAACGCAGAATGTTTGTTAAATGAAATTTACTTAATATTGAACCATATGAAAATACAAATATTTGGGGTTACCTATTTGTAGGCTCGAAACGAAACAAGAAATATTGAAAAGAAAACAAATGTCAGCCTATATTAAAACAAAACGTGGATAAATATTTGTCACAAGTTTATTAGTTATAGAACATGTTTCATGTCAAACCCTTCATGGCATAATTTCAGATATCATAAGATATGTCCAGATAGTTTCTGTCCCTTTGCATCATTTTTGTTTATTATTTTGTTGATTTATAGTTTTATTTATTTTATTTATTAATATTTATTTTTATTGTTTTTGAATTTGTTTATATGGTACACAAAATAATTTTCTAGATATTGCAATGTAGTGATACACGGATCTTTCAGGCATTACACCATTAAACGAGAAGGTCAACTAGCATATACACGAGATATTTGAAGTATTTTCCTTTCTTTTTTATTCTTCTAAGACGATTTCAAAAACATTAAAGAATATGTTAAATATGAACTGCAAATGGTTAAGTGCGTTATGAGTAATCATTAAAATATATGCTTTCATTTCTTATTGAGAAATTTGGCTTAGGCTTTATAGAAAATAAATTTCTAATTACCTCCCTTTTTTAAAATGAAATGTACATTCGGTAATATTTTTACAAATAATGCTCTTTGGAACTTACAATATTGATAAATATTCATTTGACCATCATATTTTTGATATAACACCACAAAAATGAGTAACAGGATTTTTAAATTAATGTTGATGAATACCATTTGATTGTTATTCAATGGCTGTCGAATAATGTTTTAGGGAGTGCAGATATTGGACATTAGAAAAATATACAAACAAAATATTTACAAGTGTAATTTTCACTGACGAAATATTTCTTATATCATATTTACTAATGATATATTTACTTATGTAATATTTATTAGTGTAATATTGACTACTTCTCGATTTGTATATCATTACTTTACTGTTATAGTTACACAACAATGATGAGTAAAAACTTGAATTACTTATATATGCGCAGCGTTCGCGTAGTTGTAGCAAGCCTTCCACGTGCGTCATTTTTCCCGCGCTTCAACGAAACAGGCAAACATTGTACATGTATAAAGTTGTACAAATTCTTATAGTCTATTCATATAATAAATCAATTATTGACTAGTGTGCCATTGAATATGATGTGATATTCACTGGCAGAAAGCCATATTGACCTCGGCTATCGCCTCAATCAATATGTCATCTGCCAGTGAATATCACATCATATTCAATGGGCAATTCAAATCCACAATGTACCATGTTAATAATACAGTAACACTATCCAGTATCCGAAACTTAATGGGCTGATGACTTGTCGGTACTTGACCATCTTACTTTTTTGTTTTATTTGCATTTTGTACCAAAATCATGGAATAAAAATATCTAAAATTTTGTTGATGTTTTTGGCGCAAGATATTAAGAAAATAGGAAATTTTAGATTAAATTTGACACAAATGACTTTATTGTCTGTGTCAGTAACATTTTTTTCTTATCCGTCATAACTAAAAGCATATCGTGTGCTTCAGATTAATGATTTTTTTCTCTGTTTTTCATTCAGATTCCAGCTCCCATTGTATAAACGTTGGTCATTCAACCACAGTATTAAATCCATTGTTAAGTTTACTTTTGGGTTAATATTTGGTTAATGAGAAAAACGAAGGCATTCTACTACAGGATTAAAACCATTGTTAAGTTTACTTTTGGGTTAATATTTGGTTAATGAGAAAAAGGAAGGCATTCTACTACAGGATTAAAACCATTGTTAAGTTTACTTTTGGGTTAATATTTGGTTAAAGAGAAAAAGGAAGGCATTCTACTACATGATTAAAACCATTGTTTAGTTTACTTTTGGGTTAATATCTGGTTAAAAAGAAAAAGGAAGGCATTCTACTACAGGATTAAAACCATTGTTAAGTTTACTTTTGGTTAATATTTGGTTAATGAGAAAAAGGAAGACACCTTCTAGAAGATGGCCACAAGTTAATTGATGACAACCTAACCACAGTTTGCTCCATAGGTTGTCACTATATCCAAATATAACAAGTGCTTGTTTTGTTAATGGCAGTGTCTATGGTGCTACAGCAACAGGAAAACGATTCAAATTTGACATTTATAATAACTAATATATACTTTCATTAACACATGAAATAAATTAAATTAAAATTATTATTATTTATTTCTTAAAGCTTATTTCATTTCCTTGTATGTTAAGATTTTTCTTTCTTTTACCCCCTTTTTGTATGAGAATTTGTCTTCTGGTATTTTTCTATATGTTTTTTCTTACATAATGGATGTTGTCACAAGTTCCTTTTTTATTTACTTATTTTCCTTAGTTTATTCATGCTTAAATATAATTTTGATTTATTAAGGTCTGAAGATTATTTATAATTGTTTCAATGGAGTTTTGTATTAATTTCAGTCAGGTGTAGTTATTTTGTACAATTGATATATTTTTCTGGTCCTTCGGGATCATTGATGCTAGCACTATTTAGTGTTGAGAATTTAGTACCGCTCAAGCCGGTGTCTGTTATTTTCATGTAATTTTGTTGTGATTAATGTTTCCGAGGGATCACTTTGTTTCCATTTTTTCACAACAGCATGCGTTAATTGCCGTGTGGCAGCTGTACAAAGTTGCCCCGTACTTTACTTCGGTGTTGTTATATTTTTCTGGTCCTTCGGGATCATTGATGCTAGTACTATTAAGTGTTGAGAATTGAGTACCGCTCAAGCCTAGGGTGCGTGAGGGATTCTGGAAATTTTATAATTTTACAAGTATCAGTTGATTCAATAAAATTTCTACTAGTTCATGTTTATGCTCCGAACATTGATAGTCCTAATTCCTTTTTTTTTAAATGATGTTTTAGATTCCTTTAGTGATAATGATTCAATATTTTTGCGGGGACTTCAGTCTTGTTCAGAATCCAGACTTAGATTACCACAATTATAAATCAAAAGTTCATAAAAGTAAGGCTAGAATTTTTTTATTAGAAGCTATTGAAGACAAAAATCTAAAAAAACCTTTTATAGAATAACATGGTGATGTTAAAAATATACATAAACTAACTCTATACAATCAGGTTGATTAGATTTTTTCTTGCAACAAGTTATCAGTTTGAACGTAAATATGACATAGATGTTAGTTATAGATCTAAAATCCTTGAATTATATATTTGGATATTTGTTGTTTTTTTTCCTTTCAGTCATGAAAAAGGATTATGGAAACTTAATAATGCTCTTTTACATGACATTGATTTCCTTGATACAATTAATAAGAAAATAGATTAAATAAAATTACAATATTGTTATAGATTATATTTTAGATATACAAAAAAAAGTTACAGATTTTGTTCTCAATGCTGAACTTTTTTTAGAGACACGTTTAATGGAAATCAGACGTAACACTAGCTCATTTAAGGCTAAAGAAAGGGATGTTTATGAAATAAACTAATGGAAGAAATAATTCATATTGAAAAAAACAATTGAAAATAAACACTAACTTTTACATTTACGAACTGAATTGAATGAATTAAGATGCAGTAAAATTAAAGTATGATGTCTCAGGATCAATCAAGAAAACTAGAACGATATGGTCTCTGTTACATTAAAAAAAACATGACAAAATGATAAAGTCCCAGATATGATGGATTTGC